TTGACTAAATCTGTGGGAAGAGATGGTGGAAAAGCTCCATATCATCAGCCAAAACAAGGCCATCGGAAGACTGTGGAACAGACCATCAATTGCTCATATGTAAATTCAGGCTGAAGAAAATTAAAATAAGTCCATGAGAGCCAAAATATGACCTTGAAGATATCCCACCTTAATTTAGAGCTCATCTGAAGAAAAGATTTGATGCATTAGACACTAATGGTATTGACGGAGAATAATGAAAGGACCATGGACTGACTGCCAGAAGAACAGATAGATCTGTGTTGGAAGAAATACGGTCACAGTGCTCTCTAGAAGCCAGGATAGCGAGACTTCGTTTCTTATAGCTTGTACACGTTATCAGAAGGCCTCAGTCTCTGGAGAAGGATATCATGCTTGGTAAAGTGAAAGGTTAGCTAAAAAGAGAAGACCCCCAATGCGATGGATAGCACAGTGGCAGCAGCAATGGGCTGAAACGTAACAATTGTGAGGTTGGCACAGGACTGGCTAGCCTTTAGTTCTGTTGTGCGTAGTAGTTGTACACTATGAGTTGTCACCAACACAGCGGCACCTAACAACAACAATAACAGCAACAGAACACACGTATATTTCAATATTGTTAAGTTTATAAGCATTAAAATAGGAGCCATTTTGACATGACTTTATTTCTTATTCTTTTTGCTGGTTACGTTTCTCGCTTTGTATAACTGCGTGAATGATCTTTGAAATGATGAATGTGACTAGTCCTAGGTCCACAAAGCTAGTGGGGCCTCTGACTAAAAGTCCTGGTGTGGCACTTCAGGATGATGCATTGGACATTCAAACCTTGGTTGGTTTGACCCGGAAGGTTGGCAGTTCAGGGTTACTAGCCGCTCCTTGAAAACCCTATACAAAGTCACTATGAGTTAGAACCAACTCATTTACACTCAACAACTATAACAACAATCTCTAGAAGCAGCAAAGGTTTGTAGTAGCAACTTCAAAGGCGTCTCTGTTACCTTCTTTAGCTGTTGAGCAGTAGCTGGTTTGTTCTTGCAGATGGTTCAGCTGAAGAGATGGGTTGAACTTACCCCTTAAAATGCGTTTGGTGAAGCCCCTTATAAAAGGCAGCTAAGAAACTGACCCTTATGGACTTCGGTGTTGGAATGGCATAGTAGCTGTTAACACTGAGAACCTTTATCTTCGGATGGCTGGTTTGAGCCAGGTCTGACAAGAATCCTCCTTGACAATTTGATGGACTGAGTTTCAGCCAAAAATCACCTGTCAGAAATTCTTTGACAGACGTGCATTTTTTGGTCATTATCATACCAATTACCTTGTCTTTGAAAATTAAAGAAAATGATCTGAAGCTTCATTTTTAAAAACTTTGAAGCCACTTGGCTGCTTTTCCTTGTTCGTCATAAAATCAGAATTTTGACAAATTGGCCTTCTTCTATTCGGTGGTGAAGAGGTGGTGGAAAAGCAGAAGTGAGTTTCTGCACACGAACGCTTTGCTTCAGACTTAGAGACCCTCTCCCGCCTAACATCCCCGCTCTCCCCCCTCTCCCCCGTTTCACTGGACCCTTTCTATCCTACCATCTTTGTTTTATGAAGAAGTAAGTGCCTGAGACATATTTCCCTGGGCTTTATAGCTCTTTTCGTCTGGACTCCACGTCAGTGAGCACTCACTCCTCACACAATGACCTGGTTAGGTTCCACAGACCCGGTCGTTATGTGAAAACAGAGGATGATCACAAAATGGATCATGACGTAAACCCACCAAACCACAGAGGACCGTGGCCCAGCCGAGTTGACACATCACTGTAACCATCACAGCCAACGTTACTCTCGCCTTGGCATTCACTAGCCCCCACCAGGTGTACTCGCTACTGTGGAGAGTCATCACACAGTGAACGCCTTACCATTTTTATCAACAAGCAGATGTCAGATAATGAGAGAGTCGGTAAGTGAGGAGTGAGGTGCGCCTCGCTTAGGTTCCCTTCACTTAGGTTTCAACATGTGTTAGTAAATACTACAGGAACCAGCACATTGGAGTGTGAAGTACCTTCACAGACTTGTGTATGAGTAGATGGCTTTTCCAGACAAAGGGTTTGACTTGGGAAGAGTGTCACTGAGTGATGGCCACCATCTTTGGGTACAGGTCAGAATTTAGTCTGAAAACTGTAGAACTTCCTTCTTACCTGAGATTTTTGTACTGCCGTGGCCCACACCCTAACTCTGAAAATTCCTTTTCATAAATTACCAACGTTTCCTTCACCAGCCTAAGGTGCCCTGATGGATCAGCAGGTAAGCAGTTAGAATCCACCAGCCACGCCTGTAAAAATGGACAGCCTGGGAATTGGAACCGACTCCACGGCACATAACCACCACCCCTTCACCAGCCCCGTTACATAAAGCCAACGTCTCTCTCCTCTCTCCCTCTGTTTCTCTCTTCCTCCCCCTCCACCCCTAAAGTGTTGCCCAGCTCCTTGAAGGAACAAAATGTACCTTCTGTTCAAATAACTCCCCGAGAGGAATCATAAACTTCTCCTCTGGACCTGAACAAATATCTGTTGCTTTTAATGGAACTCTCTTTGTCACCAGAACAACCACCCCTCTTGATTCACTCTTCAATCTGTATGAAAAAACCCGAGTGACCTAATTCCGCTTCAATTTTCTGCCCTGGTTAGGAGCACGCGAAATGAGTCTCCCGCAGGTATGCGGTATTACCTCTTTTGGTCCTTTCTGGAAGCGGAGAACTCTGCTGAACCCCCACTGACGGGGAGATGGAGTTGTCTGGAGAGGAGGAGCATTGTTTAAAAGGAAGATTCCCACTAACAACAGCAGCATAGCAACCACAACAAAAAGAAACTGTCTTCTGCACGTCCGGGAAGCCCCTCCCTCTGTACCTGCCAGCCCCCACGTCCCCCCCCATGTGCTGAATCAAATGCTTATAATCTCACTGTGGGGTCTACTTGTCCTCAGCACCAACCATGTGTATGTGCTTTGTATTCCTGGCCTCTCCCTGTGTAAAGAGACATTCTCTATGCTGGGGCATCTGAGATTCAAATCACTAGGTTCTTTTGATGAAGCTCTGTACCCACTCCAATGCCATTCTGCCAAGCCAGCCCCCATCTATCCCAAATCCTGACGTCCCCTAAGTCCACACCTCCCTAACTCCCCACATCCTTCAACACCCCACTTCTCCAACCCCCAACTCCCCAGTTCCAACTCCCACCTCCTCCAAATTCCTATCTTCGTGTTTCTTACTATTTTCAAGCTTCAGTTTTTCTCAACAGCAACGTGAACTATCATGGATTTATCTCGTAGGTGTGTGTGTGAGAGAGAGTGAAAATTAAATATAGTTGTACATTAAATGCTGTTAACTTATGTGGTGCTGTAGGATAAGCGCAACACCGAAAAGTCAATTTGAACTGCAAGGCTGGTGGTTCAAGCTCACCAGCCACCCATCAGAAACCCTATGCAGGGTAACTGTGAGTCAGAATCAACCTGATGACACTTAGCGACAACAACAAAAGCGTAGTGTGGCTAATGCTAACTTATTTCAGCATAATTACTGTTTATTCCAGTTCTTTATTTGTGGTACTATATCCCAAGACAGTTTTGCCCTGCATTTGAGGGAGGGAGTTTCTAAAAAACAAAAAAACAGGTTTAAGTGGCATAGAATTATTTTTAATATTAAAATCTTATTAGGATCCAGGTGAAATCTAAAACCAGAGCCAGTGGGTAAGTTCAAACCACTAACCTTTTAGGTTACAGGGTTAGTAGCCCAAGTGAATCAAGGAAGTGAGCTTTTTATGTTCGGTGGTCATAATAGGTGTCCCTGAATGGTGCAAACCATTAGCGTGTTTGGCTACTCACTGACAAGTTGAAGGTTTGAGACCACCTAAAGGAGCTCTGGTAGCGTAGTGGTTACGAATCAGGCTGCTAACCTCAGGGTCAGCAGTTCGAAACTACCAGCTGTTCCATGGGAGAAAGATGAGGCTTTCTGCTCCCGTAAAGATTTACAGCCTCGGAAACCCTGTACAGGGTCACTATGAGACGGAACCGACTCCACGGCTCATAACAACATACATACCTCAGAAGAAAGACCTGGTGATCTGCATCCTGAAAAGTCAGCCACTGAAAACCTGATGGAGCACACACGCACATGGGGTCACCGTGACTCGGAGTCGACACCACAGGACCTGGATACCCACCGGCTGCGTTTTTGATGGTTTCTGATTTGAAACTCTTTCAATTTTTCAAATGTGACATCTGCTGCCCCAAATCTGTTTTTTTTTTTTTTTAAATGCCTAGTCTGCCCTTTCTTTTCTCAAGCAAGCACTGCCCACAGAGGAAGTGGTTGTGGTTGACAGGATTCTCGCTGGATGCTTGGTCTCAGCACCTAGCACTGCATTTGTAGGCTCTGCCTCGAGGCCCACCACCGTCATTAGCTCCTCGGTGCCTGGGCAGATGACCTAGTTAGCTCCGTCGGACAGAACTCAAAGTTAGGAAAAGGACACTTTTTCAGTTCTGCTCCCTGGCTTACTGGGAGCTTAGGAGCTAGTCAAGATTTTCCTCTCAAATTGTCTCTGTTCAGAACCATCATCTGCATTGGATTTGCCTCCCAGCTATAATCATTGGAATTCCTATTCTGGGGACATGGTGCTGTTACTGTTTGGTGTTGGGTGCCATCGAATATGTTCCAGTTCACATCGACCCAGTGTGACAGAGTTGAACGAGCCGGCTCCATAGGGTTCTCTATGCTGTCTTCTGAAACAGATTGCCAGGTCGTTATCCCTTGGTACCATTGGGTGTTGAGGTTCTGTGGTGCCCCATATAGCACCTGTCTGCATATGTGTCTCTGCTGAACCTCAGAAAATCGAGTTGAGGGTCAGACATGGACCGTCAGTATTGGGAATATGTGTTGCATTAAGCCTCAGGTGGTGGTTTTTCCTCAGACTGCATGGTAGTGTGTGCATTTCCATCCCCTGCTCACCCATTTCATAATCTTTGTTTAGACTCCAGGCCCGCATTGCTCACAGGATACAAGAGCTAGAAAACCTGCCAGGCTCCCTGCCACCAGATTTACGGACTAAAGCCACCGTGGAACTGAAGGCTCTTCGGTTACTCAATTTCCAACGTCAGGTAATTCCTTTTCCCCAGCGAACTTGAGACGTGGGGAAATAAATGCAGTTGCTCCTTGAGTGTGATCGGGCAGGCTCCTTGAAATCTATTCCAGATGGTTATCAAAACGTAAACTTAGGAAAATGGTGTCTCTTTCAGCTCAGCGTCACGCAGCTCCATTGCACATGGAAACGATGAACCGCTGACTGTTGCGTTCTCCTCCACTGTGATTTATAAAAGGAACCTCAGTGGTGCAATGGTTAAGCGCTTGACTGCTAGCCATAAGGTTGATGGTTTGATCTACCCAGAAAGCCCTGGTGATCTGCTCATATAAAGGTGAACCTAGAAAACCCAGTGGGCAGTTCTATGAGTTGACATCGACTCGACGGCACCTCACATCAACCTGGGTACAAAGCCAAAGGGGATGGCATTCCTTACTGTGAATGGAACTTAGAACAAATGGGATAGCTTATTTTATGAGTGCCAGTGGCGCTGTGGGCTAATGCGTCAGACTGCAAAGTCGTGTGAACTGCAAGGTTGGTGGTTCAGGCTCACCAGCTGCTCCTCGGAAACTCTATCCAGGGTCGCTATGGGTCGGAATTGACTTGACGGCACTTAACAACAACAACAAGGTGCCCTGGCTGTTTGCTCCTGTAAAGATGTACAGTCTAGGAAACTTCATAGAGGGTCTCTATGAGTCAAAGTTGGCTCAATGGTGGTGGGGTTGTGTTTTGTTATTTTTGCGGGAAGTGGGGCGTGGGGGAGGGAGGAAAGAACGAAGGTGGTAGACCAGAGCAGATAAGCACTAGTGAAAATGGAAAATGGGAAACCATTTAACAAACTGTGACAGCCACTCTGAAATGAACAGCGCATCGTTTATACAAATGCACAGAACTCTGTCTCAAAATCGTTGAATCTTTTCCCAAATGCAGTTTGAAGCACTTGATCACGGCAGACCTACCTGTGGGCACTCATTTGACACCAAATTTGCTTCAGTAAATGATCAGTTGTTTTTGTTAAGGTTCTTCATAGAGTAATACTGCTCCAGAGGGTTTGCGAGGCTGTGGCTCTTTTAAAGAGATCACCACTCACTCCTGTCTTCCCAGGTGCTTCTGGGTGGGTTCAATCCGCCAGCCTTTCAGCGAGTGATAAATGCGATTGAGTCAATTCCAACTCATAGTGACCCTGTCTGTGTAGGGTTTCTGAAGCTGTGAATCTTTCAGGGAGTAGAAAGCCTCATCTTTCTCCCACGGAGAGGTTTTTAATAACCACTTATTAATCAAGGTGGAATCCCTGGGTGGCACAGTCTAGTCAAGTGCTCAGCTACTAACCCAAAGTGGATGGTTCAAGCCCAACCTTAGGGTGCATCAGAAGAAAGGTCTGGCAATATGCCGCCTTAAACAAAAAAAAAAGTCCACCATTGAAAACCCTGTGGAGCACAGTTCTACATGGACACCATTCGTCAAGCTGAACTCATCAACAACTGTTGTTTTTAATTAATAAAAGTTAGTTAGTAAAAAAGAACTCTGGTAGCGTAGTGGTTACGAGTCAGGCTGCTAACTTCAGGGTCAGCAGTTCGAAACTACCAACCGTTCCGCAGGAGAAAGATGAGGCTTTCTGCTCCCATAAAGATTTGCAGCCTTGGAAATCCTATACAGGGTCTCTGTGAGTCAGAACCGACCCAACAGTGCACCACTACCACCCGAATGTTTTGATACAATTTTGGTAATACACTTTCAGAAATAAGATTATGTTCAAATTGGCTTCCTCATGCTGGACTCTTACTGGTATCTGTTGGCTGTTTGGTATCATTGTAAAATCTCTTAACGATGAAGTTCCCCAATTACATGGGCTAGAATTGAAGCTGGTTTCAGATTCAGTTGAATTATTATTTTACTGTGTATTCCCAATCTCCTGCCCCACTTCCTATCTCCCACATCACATAAAATCATTGATAAGAATTCCTATCTCTGATCATGTAAAATAATCTATGGCACGATGTCAAATGTAAATATTTTTCAAAACACATCCGTGTTAGGAATGGAAGGAAGCCCAAACCAGTACCCGCCCCACCTCCTTCCTCAGAGTCTGGGAAGGGGCACAGTTTGAGTACCTGCTGCTACCCAGTACAGTGGAAACAAGGCGTAATTCTTTTGTTCTTTTGGCAGAAAATCATTAAAGCTAATCCTTAAATACGAAGAGACTGTTGGTATGCTTTTGAAAATGAAGCAAGAAAAAAACAAAACAAAAAAAAATTAAACCTATCATCTAATTAATAGCATTAGAATAATTAACTAGAATGAATTAATTTCTTCAAAAGCCAGTGCAACACATACTTTATTTTATTTTTAATTTTTTGTGCTTGTGTTACCATGCTCTAATTACTTTTGTCTGGCTTATTTGTAAAGAAAGCTTTTCCCATTTTGGTAAATACCACAGACATTTGGCACGTTTTCGTTCCTTCATTTGGTAAAAGGCCAACTGTGATTAAGAAAGACGGTCCCTGGGTGGCTCAGATGGTGACGTGTGCAGCCACTAACTGAGAGGTCGGTAGTTTGAGTCCAACCAGAGGTGCTGTGTAAGAAAGGTCTGGCAATCTCCTAAAAAGTCAGCCATTGGAAACCCCACGGAGCACATTTCTACTCTGTCACACACGGGCTCACCGTGACTCAGCATCGATGGGTGACCGCTGGTTTGGGGCCATTTCAGTGACTGAGACACAGGTGGCTGCCCTGTTCTGTTGAAGGGCAGTGAGAGGGAGTTGGGGTTCATGCGCAGGCTGCCCTAACTTCTGTTCTCTCCACAGCTGAGGCAGGAGGTGGTGGCCTGCATGCGTCGGGACACAACCCTGGAGACGGCTCTAAACTCCAAGGCCTACAAACGCAGCAAGCGCCAGACGCTGAGGGAAGCACGCATGACGGAGAAGCTGGAGAAACAGCAAAAGATTGAGCAGGAGCGGAAGAGGAGACAGAAACACCAGGTACCGGTGCCCCACAGGGACGTCACGGGTTCGGTCCCAGCCCACAGCCAGGAGGCCCTAACTCAGGGCACACACCTTTCTTGGGTCCCCAGTGGGTATAAAATTCCGTGGGATCCCAGAGACACCAGAGACACCGTCTGGTCTCTGAGAAAGCAGACCTCAGAGACAGCACAAATTCGGTTCCAGCCTCTGCAGTAAAGGAATGCAGGCAGGAAGGAGTACGTGTTGCCTGGGTCCCCCGTGCGTGTAAATGCAGTGACGACACTCGATTAGCATGTATGATGTATGCGCTAGCATGACAAAACCATCTGAAATACCAGGGGGTTTCAAAAGGCTCGTGGAAAAATGGAATTACAAAAACATGGACTTACCCCACCGACTCTGTGAAGTCTCCAGATATTGGGAGAACCCCAGAATGGGGACCAGAGACACAGAGTGAACACCTGCTATTAGAAATGTGCTCTATACAGAGTGGCCACTGACCTCCCGTTTACATCAAAGGCCGTCTCTGCCGAGCATCATCAAGCATAGCGCAGGAAAATGTGGTGTCCTGTACTCAGGTCTCAGGTGGCTCTGACCGGGACCACTCCTCGGGTGCCTGAACAACAGACTCCTTCCCACTGTTCTGGGGTGTGTGCGTGTAGGTACGGGGCTCGCATCTGGGAGCTCTGAGAGAGGAAGCCACACCTCCGTCCCGGTCAGTCCTGGAGTTCTTTGATTTACGGACACATCTCTGCCTTCCTCTTCCTCCTTTTTCCTTCCTGTGCTTTGGGTAAAACTTTACAGAATAAATTCGCTTTCCATTTAACAGTTTATGCACGTTTTGTTTCCTGGCATGGGTTCCAGTCCCCTCCATGTAACAATGCTCTTCCCACTTCCTGCCTGGGTTCCCCGCTCCCATCCCTCTTTCTTTCCTGCCCCTTCCTGCCCTTCTGAGCTTGGTTTCTGGGCAAATGCTGCCCTTTTGATCTAGTCTGGTTGATTGTACTAAGGAGTCCATTCTTCCCTGACATTTTTATTGTCTTGTCTACCGTCCCTTGGGGGGTCAGTTCTAGGCTTTAAGGGTGTTTAAGGGCCGCAGTCTGAGGGCTCCACCAGTCTGTCAGACCAGTAAGTCTTGACTTTTTTGGGATTTTGAGTTTTGTTCCAGATTTGGATGTCACTCTATTCGGGACCTTCTGATGTGATTGATCCCTTTCGGAGGGGAGTGGGTTGTGGTCACCGGGCACCATCTAGCTCTTGTCTCTCAGAGTCGTGGGATCTGGAGTTCCTGTGGACTCATTATTTCCTGAAGTCTTTGATTTTCTTCTCCACTTTACTCCAGACAGGGAGACATCAACAGTTATTTACGTCTTAGATGGTCTCTCCCAAGGTTTACAAATGCAGTCTCTACTCACCCATGTAGGAAGTAGAACGCTATCATTGTGTAATGTGTTCTACCCTTTTATCTAGGTGTCTCACAAGACGATGGTCCTAAGCCTCCAAGCCTAGTAACTCATTCCTACAGTGTTTGCTTATGGCTAAAAAGTGTCCCTAATCTGTCCCTGTATGCTCTGCTATATGCATGGGTATATTTGCAGCACATATAACTACATATGCACCACTTGTCTGTCAGCTTGTACTGTGGTGACTTGTGAGTTGCTGTGATTCTGGAATCTATGCCACTGATACTTTAAATACCAGCAGGGTCACCCATAGTGGACAGGTTTCAGATGAGCTTCCAGACAAAGACAGACTAGGGAGAGGGAGAGGCGGGCTACTTCTGAGCCACTGAAAACCTTATGAATAGCAGATAACACCAGAGTACTGAATACTGAAACCTTAAGACTCCCAATGAGATGGATTGGCACCATGGCAGAGATGCATTGGCACCGTGGCAGAGATGCATTGGCACCGTGGCAGAGATGCATTGGCACCATGGCAGAGATGCATTGGCACCGTGGCAGCAGCAATGGCTCAAGTGTAGCAACGATTGTTGGTGCAGGACCTGACAGCATTTGTGCAATGGGTCACTATGAAGGGCACCTAACAATAACAACAACAACAACATGTACATATATAGACATCGCCTTGGCCAAACCTATAATATACTTGTGGGTAGAGTTGTTAGCCTTGATTTAGGATTTGATTCTGTGCAGTAATCCTCTGAGTTGTATGTTTGTCTTTCTGTGCTAATTTAGGGCCCAGTGTACTTGTCTTTGAAAAATGTTTGGATTTTGTTGTAACTGTGTACACATTTCATGGTTTTACTTAAAGTAGATAGAAATTACATCTGGCAAGTGTAGCTTTGTATAAACTTGCTGGGAGTCAGGATTGCATTAGCTAAAGGGATTTAAGTTAGGGAGTTTCTGAGTGGTACCAATGGCTGATGCATTCGGCTGCTTGCTACAGTGTTGGTGGGCCAGGTGCACATAGAGGTGCCTCAGAAGAAAAGCCTGGTAATCTACTTCTGAAAAATCAGCTGTGGAAAATCCTCTGGAGCACAGCTCTACACTGCCGGCACACACGGGGGCGCCACGAGTTGGCATTGACTCGACGGCTCACTGGTTTGGTTTTTAGTTGACGCTGGTTTTAGAATGATTCTCACTGCATCTGCCTTTGTCCTTCATGTTCATTTTGGGATGATTCTCTTTCGGTTTTGTAACTGCCACAGTTACATTTTCACATATAAAGTGGACAAGCATTCCAGGCTCGAGACGTTAGTGAGAGGGGGTGTGCAGTTTGCATAAACACGTATCACAAGTACATTACTTTCTCCCTCCATCTTTCCATTTCCATGTGGCCACACTTCCAGGCTGAGGTGACTTCTCTCCCACGTCCTTGTCATGGAACAGCCTTTGAAATGTCCCCTACCTATCCCACCAGCCTCGTGTCCCCCACCCCAGCTCCAGAGATGCACCCCGACACCTGTCTCTAAATAAGATCTGCATTTTTATGTTTTCCTGTTCTTCTCTTGGGCTGCATTGCAACCTCCTGGGTTGTTGGGCTGTAGAGTTTGAGCGTTCTTTCTTCTCCCCCTCTGGATCCTTTTAGGAATATCTGAACAGTATTTTGCAACATGCGAAGGACTTTAAGGAGTACCACCGCTCTGTGGCCGGGAAAATCCAGAAGCTCTCCAAAGCTGTGGCCACGTGGCACGCCAACACCGAAAGGGAGCAGAAGAAAGAGACAGAACGGATCGAGAAGGAGAGGATGCGGAGGTTGATGGTAAGGGCCGGGAACTTGTTCGGTTCTCACCCGTATGGACTGAGAAGTTTAAATATGGGGCGAGTCAGAGGGCAAGCGGGAGGGAGATGTAGCAGTCTGCTCCCATAAAGACCCACAGCCTTGGGAACCCGGCCGAGCACGTCTGCTTTGCCTCATAGGGTCACTGTGAGTCGGTATCCACTCAACAACTCAGGGTTTTCTTTTGTTGTGGCTTTTAAAGAGGAGAAGAGAGGGTGGCCTCGTGTTAGGGTTATCCCCTTCCTTGCTGGACACCTGGGCTTGATTCCTGGCCAGCTCACCTCATACATTGGGATGGAGGCTTGCATGATCCTATGATGATGAGCAGGTTTCAGCAGAACTCCCAGACTTAGGGAGACTAGAAAGAGAGGCCTGGTGTTGGGCTTCTGAAATCAGCCAGTGGACACCCTGTGGACCACCAGGATCTGATGTGTTGCCCACCCACTAGGAGGCATTGCGTTCCTTGGGACATGGGGACCATTAAGAGTGAGGGGCTTACTTGAGAGAACATTTTCTCTTGTTGAGCAGACCTAGGAGGCCGTGAGAAGTGTGGATCTCCATCTCTAGGGTGGGTTTCCCAGGTCACCTCGTAGCCCCTCACTTGAAGGAAGAACTTCAACAGGAAATGGTCACCAGGCTGCTAGGGTAGGACTGGGATTCTTTTGGGGAAAATACCACCCTTTTGAACCTTGACACAAGTTGATGGGAAAGAAATGTCCATTAAGTTGTGTCTTATGAACACAATGAAACTAAGAAGGTCTCTTGTTTCCCTTTTGTTTTTTATTCGGAGGTAGATTTAATGAACATGATCTATAATGTTTGACAGCTTACTGGTAACATCTGTTACAATACTTTAAAACAAACAAAAACAGTGTTTTTGATGTTACAGAATGGTGGTTGATAGGAAAGGCCAACCTTGGGGGACTTCTGTTAACAGACTTGAACGGAAGGGATTGTTCATACGCAATAAACTACGCAGCAAGTCTTTTTTCTTAACATCTCTGGTACTTCTCGCTCTTTCTCTCTCTCTTTAAATGACAAGAATTATCCTCTAACAATATAAAAACTGTTTGTTGTTGTTTTTTAACTTTGTATTGTGACTTGGATGAAGCAGATCCGTTTTCTACTCGGCAGGTCTTACGCATCTTGTTTCACTTCAGTAACTACAAACTCCACAATGTAGTGTCACACAGCCTCGATTTCCCCGTGTTTCCAGTTCCCATTCCTTCTCCCTTCTGATCCTTGTCCTTGGGCAAATGCTGCCTCTTTCCACCTCAAATGGTTGATGGTTCTAAGGAGTGCCCAGTATTGTTCCCCTTAAAGACCTAGCTGTTGTTTGGTGTGACACTATAATATAAAGCACTGGACTGCAGGGTCAGTTTGAACTACAAGGTTCAGACTCACCAGCCGCTCCTCAGAAACCCTATACAGAGTCACCGTGAGTCGGAGCCGACTTGAGGGCACTTAACCAACAATTGTTTGGCTGAAAATTAATCCTTGGGATGAGTTCCTTTCCAGAGCTGAAGTGGGGGCTAAGGGCCATTGTCTTTTCATTTTGAAACATTGCTTTTCCATAGTCATGTTGAAGGTCACTCATGAATCACCCCGATGACATGGTGTTACCTTTTTAGTGGACAGGTAAAGGCAAAAAGGATCAGCTTAGATGCTTGCCCTGGGTGTTTGGTTTTATTGACCATCATTTTCATAATTGGGCCTCAGAGCAGACAGTGGACTTTAGGAAGGGTGTAATCTATAATGATAGGAGACCACAGAGTCTTCCTGGGACATGTAGTCGGATGGCATGAAGTCATTAACCTCCATCTATAATTATGTCTCTGGAAAATTCTAAGGGATGCTGTCTGCCTAGCTGGTTTGCTTTTTTTTCCCATTCATTTAAAAAATTTTTGGATTCCAGAGACTAAAAGCTATATTCTGAAAGGCTGTGTGTTCAGGTACTCCGAAATATTGGTTTTATCCTGCTTCCGTCCTCTCTTTTGTGGAAGTGGTGGGGGTAACTAGCCGAAAGCTTCCTTAAATAGACAGTTGTGGCCATTTTATAGTCATTTGAGCTGTAAGCAGGCACGTTTGTCCGATTCAACCAAAAAGTGAAGCCGTCTGAGAACTTTACGAACAGATCGGCTTGACACTAATGATTAGGCATTTGCAAATCATTAATTTTTGCAATTAAATGATGGGATGCTCAGATAACAGAGAAACTGAAGTTTTGTATCACTCTCTCTTGAAGTGAGACCATCCATAACCAAAAGCAATTAGAGTTATAATAGCATAGGAGACCCACACTCATCCAGGGGCCAGACTGCAGCCAGACTGGGCCACGAAACTGCTGTCATTCCTACAAATTCTGCAAATCCCCCCCGAGACGGGCCAGGCTGAGTTGTCCTGGAGTGGAATTGCCCCTGAGAAGTTTGGGAGGCGAATCTTTAATCTTGGGGTCTTTTTTTTTTGTCTTTCTTCGTTTGATTATGAGTTAAGTGAAGGTTGATAGACGGATCATCAGTTTCATATTCTACAAATCACATACTTCATTTCATCTCCCGGATTACAAGTCCCTCCCTCTCATATCACTGATCCTATTTCCTCCCTGTTTCCTGTTTCCAGTCCTCCTTCCCCATCACTTCTGAACTTGGTCCTTGGGTGAAGGCTGGCTGCCCTTTGGATCTCAAATGGCTGGCCATTCTATGTTGTGTGTCCCCCACTAGTATTGTTGTCACCCTCCTATAAACTGACCTACGACTGGGTTGGACATTGGGCCACGGGTTAAGTTCAGTTCAAGACCTGGAGGGGAGTTGGGGTGTCCTCTTATTAAGATGTATGCAAAAGGTTCCTTGTGTGAAGTGGCTCAAGGCACACCAGTCTGTTCACTCCATTTAACCCTAACGTGTTGCTTACTGGGAGGTAGAAATCCCTGAAACTGTGTTGTCACTACTTAGGGACTCCAGCCACCGAAGTCCCCACTTCAGTTTAGGTCTGCAACAAAAGTCCCCCAAAAGCTGGCCTTTCCTATCAAACACCATGCCTGTAACACCAAAAATGATGCTTTAAAAAAAAAAAGCAGGTTTTGAAACGTTATTTGTTAAATGCCAATTTGATTTCTCATAGTTCAGAATGCTTTTTGAAATATTCAAAAGTGGCAGAACTTTATTTAGGTCTGGGAATTTCTTCCAGACACCCCAGTTTGTGGCTGGGATGAGAAGATGGGGAAAGAGTAGGATTCGATTCCTGAGTTCATTCTTATATTGTTATTTTTGTTGTGGTGGTTGAGGTGGTGGTGGTGGTGTGCCAAGGAGTTGCTTCCGACTCAGAGTGAACCTGCATAGGCTTTCTAAGGTTGTCAATCTTGATGGGAGCAGAAAGCCTTGTCTTTCTCCTGCATAGCGGCTGGTAGATTTGAACTGCTAACCTTGTGGTTAGCAGCCCAACGTATAACCTACTACGCTACCAGGGCTCCTTGTTGTTGTTGAGAACATGCACCAATTCAGTGACCTGGTGACATTTTTGGAATTGTGCAGCCATTGTCACAGTCCTTTCCCGAGTTGTCCCGCCCCCATTCCCATAAACTCCCTGCCCACTAAGGTTCCCATCGAGGCTTTCGAGTTGTTCTTGTCAAGTTGATCCCACAGAGAGTTCTTCAAAGACAACAATGCTCAAGGCCACCCTGTTTTTCAAGTTGAGTTAAACTGTTGTTGAGTTTGAAGAAGACTTCGGCGTTGGGGTATATTTTTGGCTTAAGGTTTAAAAGATGACCTCAGGGCAGTTGTTTCAGAGATTCATCCAGTCTCCCTGGATCCAGAAAGTCTGGATTCCATGAGCGTTCGAAATTGTATTGTACGTTTTTTGACCATGAGTTGAATTTTGTTCTTGGATGATGGTTATGTGAGGTTTTCCCTCCATACTTTGGACTACATTTGAAGTTAACCAAAATAAAGAGGTAGCTTCGGTTGTTGAGTTTTCAAATGTTGACATTTGTCTGTGTGTGTGTATGCAGCTAAGAATCATAGAAGAAAATGAATATGGACTCAAAGTACTTGATCACACCACATGCAGCTGGTGTTGGACAGTGTGGTAGCGTGGACTAACTGTCTCTGCCATTGCTGTGCGTCTTGGCCGTCCACCTCCTTGTGGACCCCAGCCCCCATCTGTGTGTGACGGCTGGTGTGAACAGCTAGTCACTACCCATTAGAGTTCACACCTGTCAAGGGGAGTTGTTGTTGTGAAGTGCCATGGAATTGATTTCAACTCTGAGGCTTTAAATCTTTTGTGGGAGCAGAATGCCTTCCTTATCTTTCTCCTGCAGAGCAGCTGGTAGGCTTGAACCGTTGTGACCTTGTGGCTCATTGTCCAATGCTTATCCCACGGAGCCACAAGATGGGTTGTCTACAAACTTTGAAGAGCCCGGTGTTGGCTCTGTGGTAGCGTTCTTGCCTTCCATGTGGGAGATTGGAGTACGATTCACACACAGCCACACTAGAGGGCTGTGCGTTGCTGTGATGCCAAAAAGCTTTCAGTGGAGTTGGCAGACTAAGACAGACTTGGAAGAAAGGTCTGGGCCATCAACTTCCAAATGTCAGCCAGTGAAGAGCCTTGGATCGCAAGGGTCCCACACTGTAGACAGTGCTGGAGCATGGGGTCACCGTGGTTCCAAGTGCCGCTCGATGGCAGCTCACAGCAGCAACGAGCTCTTCTTCTAATGATCTCCTCGTGGTCTTCCCTCCTTAACAGGCTGAGGATGAAGAAGGCTACCGGAAGCTGATTGATCAAAAGAAAGACAGACGCCTAGCCTACCTTTTGCAGCAGACCGACGAGTATGTGGCTAACCTGACCAATCTGGTGTGGGAGCACAAGCAAGCCCAGGCAGCCAAAGAGAAGAAGAAGAGGAGGAGGAGAAAGAAGGTTAGTAGCCCGCGTGGCGGTGAGCTAAGCATCCCATTCTGAGCATTGCTCAGTGGTCCTCCCTACTCCATCAGGGGAGATGTGTTTCGTCTGGTTAGAAACGTTTTTTTTAAAGTGATTAATACATCAAAAGTAATAAACACATATTAACGTAAATGATACCTTGTATGAAAAATTACACTTATGAAAAGCGAATGTAGAACATGGCATTATTTTACAGTTTTCAAATCTCTCTCTCTCTTTTTTTTTTTTTAAACTTGTTATTGTGAATTGAATGAAGGTTTACCGAGCCACTTTGTTCAGCAAATCGAACACGTGGTTCCATTCGGCGATGGCGCCCCCCCCTGCCCCCCATGGAACACTGCTGGTCCCACTGCCTTCTTGTGGTTCCTGTTACCATTTCTTCTCCTTCTTTCCCACTCATCTGAACTTGCCCCTGGGTAAATGCCCCCCTTTGTGAGTTTGGTTTCACATCTTCTCCCTCTCTAGCCGGGTCCTTCTAATGTGATCTCTTTCAATGCCGGTGGTCATGGCAGCTGGGCACCATCTAGTTGTAGAGATGGATGTCCCCATGGTCCATTAGTCCACCGGACTCATTGTTTATAAACGTCTTCAAGTTTCGTTGTTCTTTCTTGTGTACATGGAGAGTCCAATAGTTGCATCTTAGAGGTCCACTCATGAGCTTGTATGATGCCAGGGGCTACTCACCAAAGTAGAACATTGTCTTCGTGGACTGCGTTATGCCAACTGACTGCGGTCCCCCTGGGACTATGGTCCTGAGCCCCCAGGCCCAGCTACTTCATTCAGCAGCAAAAGTTTTTATTACTAAATTGCAAAACTGAAATGGACATAGCATCCCCCAGGTGGTGCAAATGGCTAATTCCCAGAGGCACTTAGGAATAGAGGTCTGGCGATCAGATCCTGAATAAATCATGCCCAGAAAACCATACGGAGCACACACGGGATGCCATGAGTCAGCTGACAGACTCAACCGCAACCAGCAACACCAGTAACAAATGGCTATCGCTTAAAAGAACTCATGAGATTTTAGACAGCATTCCGGAAGCCAAGGCTCACGGATAGGGGCTATTCAGACGGACGCAGTTCAGTCCATATCCCCATTGTTTATACACTATTTTAGAAGCAAGTGACTTGTGGAGTATTGGGGAACCCAGAAAATATACATACACATCGAAAGGCAAGGTCAAACCATGCTACCACATAAATAGTTTGTTTTAGTTGAACGCCAGCGTAGGAGGAGGGGGCTGTGAGGTTAAGAACCTGGAAGGAGAATGAAGAAGAAACCGCAGCACAGAATGAAAGAAGCCCAAGGAAGTTGTCAGAGATCGGGGTGGGGTACTTTTGAAACATACCACAAGTTCCATTAAAGAACAAAGAAAATAAATATTGTAACCTATATTTACCAACAAGTAACACCAAGTTCTGGGTGTCCCGGTGTCTCAAAAAGTTGTGTTTACATGATGGCGCAGTCTAAGAGTAGAGTCCTGGTGTGGCACCGTAGGATAAGGGTTTGACCATAAGGTCAGTGTGAATAGCAAGGTTGGTGGTTCAAACCCACCAGTCGCTCTTCAGAACAGGGTCGCTGTGAGTTGGAACTGACTTGCCGGCATTTCACAACAGCAGCGGGCGTGGCCTATGAAGTATGCAATGGCATGATGGAAAAGTCTGAAATACTGTGAGCATCACCACAGTGTAACACAGAGATTGGAAGTCAGCACCTGCTGTTGGAGAAACAGTACCGATAGACATGCTGGACGCAGGTGGCCACTGACCTGCCATTCATTAAACCGCAGCATCTGTGAAGCGCGGTAAGGCCAAGTGCATTAGAATGAGGTTGGCCTGTGTTTCCTCCTGTTGGTAAGGATGCGGACAGTGGAGGTTGCGTTCTCGCCTTCCATGTGGGCACCGCAGGTTTGAGTCCAGCCAGTGCAGCCACCGTTCATCTGTCAGCGGAGGCTTGTGTGTTGTTAGGATGCTGGGAACAGATTTCAGGAGAGCTTCCGGATGAAAGTGAACCAGGAAGAAAGACCTGGAGATCTAGCTCTGAAAACCAGCTGGTGGAAATCCTGTGGTATACAGTGGTCCCACCCCATTGTTCCCGGGGCCACTGTGAAGCGAGGACAACAAACAGCAATTGAGACAGGCAGCCCAAACAGCTGATTCAGTGCCTGGATGTCCGTAACTGGCAGGGACAAACCCAAAAATGTCTGATGTAAACTGTTTGCTACTTTTCATGAGCAGTGAAGGGTGAGGGTCAGACTCTGCCTTGCAATGAACAGTCTAGGAGTCTAGTCTTTGGTGAATATTTCATTTTCATGAGAAATCCTGCCAGGGGCGGGGTACAGACATCCACAGGAAGACGCCGTACGAATTGTAAAGACTGAGTGTGTGCAGCATTTCAACCTTTGTTCTCAACACCGGATAATTGAATCACTTGTTTTTCAAGAAGTCATTAATTTCATGGCTCCTGAATCCTCATACTTGGCTCGTGATTAAGGAGGAAGCAGAAATGGTTGAGAAGATGTCCACTTCCACCTGACCTGTGTGGTGTAAGCCAGCCCCCCTGAGTGCGGAGATGAATAAGCCGGGGGAGGGACTCGGGGCTCAAAGGCAGGCATGGCAAATCGTCCAGGAGGATCACCTCATTGTCTTGTGAGGGTGACTTTGTTGATTTGCAGAATCCCAGCTCCCGACTTCTGGCTGAGAAGGCAGGTTTGGGATTTGGGAAGGGTGCCTAGACAAATAGAGACAATGCCTTACAGAAGGCAGTCAGTTCAATAGCAGGGCTGGCTTCTGCTGTAGAGGAAGGTGCCCGGTGGCTCCGAGATTCAGCACTCTGCTGCCAAACAAGAGGTCAGCAGTTTGAACCCACCCGAGTCTCTGTGGGAGAACAGGCATGGCCTTGTGTTCCCGTAAAGATGATCACCAAGGCAGCCCAATGGGACAGTTGTGCTTGTCACACGGGGTCACTATGAGTTGGCATCGATGAGACAGCACACACCAACAGCAGAGGCACAGAGGGACGTTTTGCTAAGCTCGTTACACAAGTTTGAAAGATCGCTGTTAGGTGCTGCTGGTGGTTATGTGCTGTCGAGTCAGCGCCAACTCATGGCGATCCTGTGTAGGGTTTGCAAGGCTGTCAGTCTGTACAGCAGCAGAAAGCCTCATCTTTCTCCACAGAGCTGCAGTTAGCAGACCAACTCGTAACCCACTACACTACAGGCAAAAAATGAAAAGGATCTGTGATTGAGCATTATCGGTTGTGTGTACATGTTGGGGTTGATCTTTACAGAGCACACAACTCTCACATGACTTCTCACGTGTGGTCTGCTGTACATGATCAATATGTTGACACCTTACGTCCACACTGTCCTCTGAAGGCTGTCGGATGGCACCTGTGATACCCAGCTTTTGTGTTTCAGGCAATAACACAACAAATATGAACTGAGCCCTCACTCTGTGCTGGTTACCAGAGGATCAGCAAAAACGAGGAAGACCCCAATGAGATAGCTTGACACAATGGCAGTAACAGTGGGTTTAAGCTTAAAAACGATGTGAAGATGGCGCAGGACCAAGGAGCATGGTGGGGGTTCATTCTGTTGTACATAGGGTCACTGTGTCCTAGAGCCGACTCGATGGCATCTAACTACAACATCAGATTGTGTGTTGGGGACAGTCCTCCATGTAGAAGACTCGGGTTTGAGTCCCAGCCAAGCCTTCCCATTGTTGGTGGACGCTTGTGTGTGGCTAGGATGACGCAAAGGTTTTAGCCAAACTTTCAGACTAGGGAGAAAGACCTGGAGATCTCCTTCTCAAAATAACTCGAGGCAAACCCTGTACATCAGAGAGCTTTGAATCACAAGTGCCCGGGTGGGTGGCGCAGGACCTGGCATGGGTTCAACCCCTTGTTGATGGCGGCTTAAAAGGCAGCTAACAACAGCAAGAGCCAGGACTGTGGAGGCTGGGTGAGGGGAAGTGCTGTGGTGAGGAAGAGCATTGCAGCCATCTTGGCTCCACCAGAGAAACCGACAATCCTCAGACATGCACCAAACACAGAGCTGACACCTGTGAGGGTTGCTATTGAGGGAAACTGGCAAATGAATACTGGATCCCAAAGCCGCAGCTGTCTTCTTGTGTATCTCTGGCCCTGTCCTAAGGATGTTCCCACGTGACCGAGTGCGCAGAATTATTATCCGCCCTCTAAGGAGCTCTGGTAGCGTAGTGGTTACGAATCGGGCTGCGAACCTAAAGGTCAGCGGTTCGAAACTACCAGCTGCTCCGCGGGAGAAAGATGGGGCTTTCTACTCCCGTAAGGATTTACACCCTCGGAAACCCTGTACAGGGTCGCTATGGGTCGGAACCGACTCGACGGCACGTAACAACAACAACAAGATGTCCCTGGGTAGCACAGCAGCTAAGTAGGATAAGCACTGGACTGATAGCCATCAGGGAGGCAGTTTGAGCCCACCAGCCACTCCTAGGGAGAAAGATAAAGCTTTCTGCCCTCGCAAAGGTCTACATCCTCAGAAACCCTATCCGGGGCTGCAATGAGTCGGAACCAACTCCACGGCACTTAACAACGTACAGGGTTGATACGAGTTGGAACTGACTTGAGAGCACTTAACAGCCTAGTTCAGCTCCCTTCCATTAGAGTGAAGTGTTGAGAGTTGCCAGTTCTAGCTTCTCCATGCTGGAGAAAGATTCCTTGCATCCGTAACTGACCAAACAAACTCACTGTGGTCAATTTTGACTCATAGCAACCTGACCTTTTGTCAAGCATCCAGTGCTTTAGCTACGGCACCACCGGTGATCCATAGTGTCTCCTTAGATTGTAAAAATGCTGTGCTGTCCCTTTCGAACACCACTCATCAGCCAGTTTGTCATGCTGCGGTGGCTGACATGTTGCCGTGACGTCGTGATGCTGTCTGTATCTGTGCCCATTCCAAAGTGAGGTGACCCAATGGCATGTGGAAATCATC